TAGTAGATAGATAAAAGGATCTTAATTGGCTATTAGAAATGTAGTACAGCCACATGATACTGAGTAACATCTGTGATGTTACTATTGTCTTACAAATTCCAAGTATCCTTAACACAAACCCCAAGTGTCCTTACACAAACTCCAAGTATTTCTGCACAAATTCCAAGTGACTTTATATGGATCCAAATGCCTAAACACAAGTTCCAAGTGTTTCAAGCATAAATGACAAATAACATAAACAATATCTTCAGTTGCCTCTACACAGTTTTCACTATCTCAAGCATAGTATTATTTAATGTTAGTCAAACTTCACTATTCCCAATACAATGATATCTAATATTGTTTGAACCTCTATTATTCTGAGTATAGTATCAAGTAATGTTGCTTGAATCTCCACTATTTCCACTAGATAAAAAGATATATAAAGAATAGCTTTTACTCTTTCTTGCCAATTCTAAGTTCCTATATTTTAACTTAGATCCTTCTACCTTTACCTCTAACTTGTAAAATTAATATTTTCTCTTTAGGATAATTTCTACAGGCAAGGTTGTTACTGTGTGTTTATTTAATAAAAGTTAGTCTATATACTATTACTATCTCAAACTGTTTGTCTGTTGTTGTGTAGTAAAGTGAATTACTACATTTTCATCCTATATATATTTGTAATAGTCAATCACTGTACTGAGTAATCTTATTACTTGATTGTATTGTACCAAGAAGGCTACAACCTTGTAACAGTAATAAATTTAGAAATAGCTAAGTATTTTAAATTTTTGATTTCAAAAATGTTATAAATTATTTATTTTATTATAAATTTGTTTTATATATAGTTTCATTTAAGAAATGATCCAACTATTAGAACTATTTGAAGCCATAACATGATGATTATTAGGAGCTACATATCCAATACTTAACCTGGTACACCTATATATATCTATATTAAAACAAATGTTTGCTCTGAGAATTGATGAAAATGAAACTGTCAATAGTTATTTAAATCTTATTTATAGTTCTTTAATGCAAGTTGACATTTTAGAAAATGCTGAAGACAAGAATGATTCAAGTTCTATAAGTAATGATAATGATATTTCAACTGCTAAAAATTGATGATATTTGAAATATGTTTATTAACAATTTAAGCAATATATAAAAAATACAAGAGAGAGAAGTTAAGGCTGAGGTCAAAGTTAAATTCATAAGCAAACAACTAAACAAAATAAAAATGATAATGATAACAATAATCAAATTAAATATTTACCATCAGTAAATACAGAAAATCTTATCCAAAGGATCTGTGCAGCCATATATCTTTCTTTGGATAAACTATGAGAAGTACCAAATGAATTATCTTTAATTGCAACAATTTTAGATTCTTAAATAAAAAATTTTCTATTTGTAAATAGTTCTGATCATGTGTGGCAATGAATATAAACTGAATTTCTTTTAAGAAATTTATATACTTAACTTAAGCAAAATTTGACAAATAAAGAAGATATTGGAAAGCATATTCCAACTATGATGAATTTGATTAATAATAATGCTAAAGATATATTTATAAAAATGTAAACTAATAATCAATTACTAGTAGAGAATAAAGTTACCTGTTATTTATACTGTTCTGATGAACCAAAAACTGTTGATTTTTTAATTTAGTAACAAGAACATTAGGTGAGTTATCCTTTTTTATCACATTTAGCATATAAGTATCTTTCGATACCTGCTACATCAGTTCCTAGTGAACAACTCTTTTCTGATACTGGCAATTATATTTCAGCAAGAAGAACATAATTAATATCTAGTTTAGTCAATAATATTTTATTTTTAAAATGTAATACTATATACTTTCTTATGTTTTTATCTTTAGAAACTAATAAATAGTTTTTTTTTTTTGCTAATTTTTTGATTTAATATAAATTTTATTAATTAGAATAAATGAAATAAAAACATTATTATAGTCATAAATTAAGAAATCATGATTTTTAAGTATAAAAATTTTACTTGTTTTTGAGCTTTTTACTAAAACAAAAATAATCATTTACAAATTCTCTTTGTCAAACAAGATTTTTTCAATTTTAAGATTTAATTAGAGATAGTATAGATTGATTAAAGCTAAAGATTCTTAGTTTAAATTTCCTTATCTAGTTTTTTAATCATAAATAATTACCACTTTGTTCAAACATATATATATGTAATATAGGTCAATCTCTTCTAATTAATTTGTCACTTATAGTTGTAAAATACTTTTTTGAAATCTGTTTAATAAGTGCTTACTATGTAAAAAATCTCTAAGAATTCTGAAAGATCTTAAAACTAGAAGCACTCAAAAGCCAAAATGAGTTTATTAAAAATAAAAACTTGTATGTATAATATAATATTAGTACAACTACATTAATTATAATATGTTAACATATATGACCAATCATAAGGAGTTATTTTATCTATATGATGAGTATGCAGATTACATCCAAATATCGATTTAACAATTCAGATTTAAATCTGAAATTAAAAAACACTAATTAAATAAATTTGGATTTAAAAAATGAATTTGGTTTCAAACTCTAGTTATAGTAAATATGCTGAAATAATAGTATTATTGTTTCTTCTTAGTTAATTCTATTTTTAACAGAATATAAATCTGTGAGTCCAAGATTAGTTATAACTAGAAGTGTAATAATTTAGTAAAATAGTTAAGTTGTCAACTCTATAAGCAGTAAGTTGAAAGTTCAAAATCTACTAATAGTGAAAATTTGGAAAACTACCTATGTTATATTGGTATTATGAAAGGTAAGCTGTATTACAGCAACAGCACTCTGTTGACTAGTTGAAATTAGTACCTGTAACATGGTTATACCAGATAACTGGCAGGTTATGGGGCATCTGCACAATGTTAAAGTTATACAGAGAAATGCAAACTGGTATCAGGTAGTGCAAATCCAAGATAAGTCCTTATAATCATATAAATCTATAAACTAGGAAACTGGAGTCCACTTGGGAAGACCCAAGTAGAGAGGTAGCACAAATCTTTAACAGTACTATTGTAAAGGCTAGATCTAGAAAACAGATACCAATATAGAAAGAATTAGGCAGGCAAAAACTTTGAGTAAAAAGTAATACCAACCAGGCTATTAGAAGTTTCGAACTAAAAAAAAAAGATTTTAGGAACAGACTCTGAAGTACTAAGGACAGATTATAGTTCTACTAGGCTATCTGAATTGGAAGTCTAAGGTTAGAAATAGAATATACTATAAGTACTAAAAATATGCTATAAAGTTGATACTAGGATCTAAGTGAACTCTGCAAGAGTGAGCCCTATTAAAAAAAGACTAAATGTTAGTAGTTAGTTAGCAGAAAAGTCTCTTGGAGCTTTATAGTTAGGTGATATACTCTGAAATATGTAACAGCTTAATAGATATATAGACAAAAAGATTACAGTTAGGTTAGACAGCACTTAGATGTATAGGAACTTATATGCTATTTGTCAGTATAAGTATAGAATTTAGAGTGTTTAAATAGGTAATCTTCTAGTAGATTGCAAGTATAGCAGCTAGTGTAGAACCTGCTATATAGGCAGACTATATAAAATAAACAACCAAAAGTTGTATATATGGCTAGTTGTATTCTCATCTTATACAAGTTATATAACTATAATTAAAATACAATAAAAACAATAGGCACTAATAACTATGACCTTAGCATAAGCAAAAAAAAAAAAAGATTAGTTATAACTTGGTTATGATAGTTATTAAGCAGATTAGTAAGAACTTCTACTAATTTAAATAGCATGTTTATTCATATTAAAGATTTGTGAAAGAAGTCAGAGTTTACTGAATTATAAGCTTTGCTTATATTCTAAAATATGAATCAAAGTTTTTTAAAGTTGCAAGAGGCTTTTTTAATTATATTGTTAAGTATATAGATTGGTATTGCTGTACTATTACCAGAAAGAGCAATATAGTTATAAAAAGATAATATTATTATATTTAGCATATGTATTGGCTGCTTTGTGAAATTGCCAGGCAGGTCTGCATAATTTGGTCCTTTAAGTATTTCTCTTTCTATAAATATCTTGGCTAGCCTTTTTGTTACCACCTTTGTGACTAACTTTCTAAAAGTCTTAATTAGTACTATTGGTCTAATATTGTTCAGATTATATTCTCAGTCTATGTCTTTTGGGATTGGATAGACTTGTGCTATTTTCTACTTTTTTGGTATTTTTTTTGTTTCTAAAACCAGATTTGCAAAGTCTCTAAAGATCTTTAGTAATTTTCTTTCTGCTCATTTTATTAAAATATAGCTTATGTCTGAAATTCCTAAAGCTGTATTGGCCTTGAGTTCTTTTAATATGTCTTCTCATTCCTCTTTTTCTAACTTTTCTTCTAGCTTTTTATATCAGAACTCCTTGATCCACTCTTTTGGGTTGTATACTTCTATCTATTCCTTAGGCATCTCTTCTAGTTTGGTTCTTCATTTTTTGAATTGATTTCTGAAATGTTTTGCCAGACCTTCTATAACATTCTTAGACTTTGTCATTAGACTAGTCTCATCTTCACTTTGGGTTATAAATTTGTCTAGAATTATCTTTTTGTATAGTTTGTTTAGAAGGCTAGCAATTATTTGTTTCTGATCAGTTTTTATCATCTTACATCTTTTATTTATATTTTTTTCTATCTGTTTTCTTTGGGCTCATTCCTACTCTTCTTTTCTTCTGCTTTCAGAATTCTTTGCCAGCCTTTTATATCATCTATCCAAGCTTCTGACCATTGTTTGTATAGCTTTAGTAACACTACTTCTATCTCTTTACCAATGTTTATAAGCTTCTTGTTTATCTCTTCTTTTTCTTCTTTTTCTATCTCTTGGTTTCTTTTAATCTTTGCTCTTTTGATTATTTGTTGTAGTTCAGTTATGTATTTATGTTGTTGTGATTTCTTTTGATAATGTCTTCTGTTTGCTTTTGTGTTAAATATCTTCTTTTTTGGAATTTTTTTATTTGCTGCTTCTATTATAGTTTTTTTTATTGCATTCTATATTTGGTCTAGCATGTCTGTGTTGTATGAAATGTTTTTACTATCTTCTTCTAACTGCTTTAGTGCTTTTTTCTATTCTAATTAAGCTTGAAACTCTTTAGCATATTTTTCTCAATCTTCTTGCTTTGCTTCCTCATACAAATATATTGTTCTCATCTGGTTTTTACATTTAATTTCTGCACTGCTCTGGTTTGCAATTATATGCTTTAGCCATATGACTGTTGTTAATATCTTGTGGTCACTATCTGTTATATCTTCTGCTTCCTCTATATTGGCTTCTTGGAGATCAGCTGTGATTGTTTCTAACAACCAGATATAGTCAA